CCCCAAAACCCCAAAACCCCAAAACCCCAAAACCCCGTTAGAGTATTTCTGGATTGAAACTCGCTATATTTTAGCAACAAATAACTGTTAGAGGAGACTAATGGATATTAATAGATCCAGAAAGTTGTGAGTAATTTTATTGTCGATAGTTTTGATCATTTATGTCCCTGCTATTGAGATTGCTGCTGTGCTTCGAACTCAACCAGAGTTAGAGTTTGAGCAAGAATTAGAGCTTGTTTCTAATAAAGGAATCCACAATCAGAAAAACTGGTTGAATTTTAACCAAGAATTCACATCAGGAGACTCAAGAAAAGTTGTTCAGAACTTGACCCTACTCATTTCAGATACAGGGGAGGATTCAGGCCTCTCAGAAATAATGTTTGAGATAATATACCTCCCACTAAGTTCGATATATTTTATTGCAGTCATTTGATTCTTTAAGAACGTATCTAATTTTGACCGGACTTGGACCTTCAGTTGGGTTGGGCTGCTTTTCTTTATGGTATCATACATTGAAATCAACAGAGACTTCTGCTATATATTTTTGAAAGCAATAAAGCTGGAGATGTATACTTTTGTTCATTTCATCCTCTTGTTCATGTTTTCCATTCTGTCAGCCTCTAGTTTCTTTCTATTAATTTATGGAATCAATAAATAGAGAAAATAATTTGAAAAGAGAAATAAAAAAGGGTACAAAGAAGAAAATGAGGTGACTGAAATCCCTGATGAAGTATGGCTGGCTTATTATACTGATTAAAGTGGCTATTATACTTCTTATCCAAGGTTCTTGTATTGTAGGAAGTTTCTTTATTATAAAATATTTTTCCTTCCTGACATCAAATATTTACATTGTTATTATACAAAATCTATTCTGGGCCAAACTTTTATTATACAGTCTATGTTCAAAGGTCAGATTACAAGACACTAGGAAGGGATTGTGATCAATATACGACTGGATTGTTAAACTATGAGTGAGCATTCACCTGACCTTCAGTGTGAACTTCATCTATATTTTCAAGAGAAATGCCAATTCAAATCTGAAGAAGATTCTTCTGGTTGTAATGATGGCCTGAATCCACTGTCTGCTGATCCTATCCTATATGGTTCATCAGACTTACTTCTGTGGGCCTTATTATCCTAAATAAATTGAGGGAGAGATTTAACACTGTTTGTCAACTTGGTCCTGCTAGTAGTGCAGATTTAGAAGATGGCTTGCTGACAAGATGTGATTTGTGAGCAGGATCTTTGAGAGAGCCAAGTGCTGAGGTGCTTCCTGAAAGAATAACCCTCACCGACCACATTTCCTCTCAACTCCTCTCCAGCCCCCCTCTGTCCATCCTCTCTCCTTGCTCTCACCAATTCCACCCAGAATGATTCCTAAAACTCGCCCTTAACGAAGACAGTCAATTACGAAGATGCTCAGAGTGAAACTGAAAGTTATATATTTTATTTAAGTAAATTTCACTCGTTCTTCGTACTGATGGGGTTTTGGGGTTTTGGGGTTTTGGGG